ATTTTTTTAAAAAGATTAAACATTCCTATAATTTGGCGTCTTTTTTTATATCAAATCTTTTATACAAATATTAGAATTGAATATTATATACTATTCGAACATTAGACATAAGATTGCGTGATTTTGTAAATATAAACTTAAATAAAATGAAAAGTTCTCGGATGGAAAAATATGAATCTTGAATTTTTTATTTTATTTTTATTTTTTAAGAAGATATAATTTGGGTCAGTGACTGAAAAATTTTTTTCCATTAAAAAAATAACACTTTTATATAATAACTATATAATAACTATAACTTGATGTCTTTTGATATCAAACTTGATACTTTTTGATATCAAATCTTTTATACAAATAATACATATACAAATACATATTATTACAGGTGAGTATTATATATTACTTGAACATCAGTAAGATGACGTAATTTTGTAATATAATATTTGGATCTTTGATGCAAAGATATGTGCTTGAGTTTTCACAAATACACTGCGCGTAAACTTGTAATAATCTTTCATACACACACTGCTCGTATATTTGGCGACTTTTTTTACTTTTTTATAAAAAGTATAAATTTATTGTGATATCATTTATTTTGTTGTGTTAAGTATTTTATAAACAGTATATGTATTTTCATTTTTTGCCACATGATTACATTATAACATGATGATAAATTCTGTACAACTGTAAGTAGCCTGTCAAAACAAACCCCCATCACTTTCCCCACCGGCGCCAGGGGCGTAGCCTCCCGTTGTCAAAAACTGTCAGTCACGTGGAAATAGAGCGTTCTGATTGGCCGGTGGGCATGGCAGGTGATAATTACGTAATTAGTGGGGGCGTTCTGATTGGCTGAAGTCAAAGCTGCCCGGCGCGTGATTGACTCTGCCCATAGTGCCCCATGTGTATGATTGATTGTCGAAATACCAGACGAAATAGTAGAGGAAGGGGGAGAAAGTGTCTGGAATCGCTCGGGGTCTGAAAACAAAATGGCATCTGCGAAAAAGAAAGATGGCGGGTGTGTGAAAGGAATATACTTGACGAGAATGGAATGCGATTTTTATGACACGAGGATGGAGCGAGGAGAAGAAAATTGGTTTTTTGCGGGTTTTTATTACGTATATATAAGATACGATAAATCACGTTTTCTTAGGACGAAAAGTTTTTTGGCGCCTCATAGCGAATTTAAATAAATTTCTCTTGTTGTTTGACATTTTTGTATGGAGAAAATGTATAAACGTTTTGAAGACAAGAAATTTTCGGTGTGTAATAACCGTTAGAGTTATTTACCGAGTCGTATGGTATTTGGGGGAGGAAAACAGAAACGGACAGGTTCGCACTAGAAGTTTCTGACGACGACGAATTTGGAGTACGAGGCTTTTATCCTATGATAAACACGTGGGTTGAAAAAATTTTCTAGATATAAAACTCTAGATTTTTCTACAACATTTGGAGTTATACACTAGCGAGGTTATTTTCTTTAATTCTATGGCAAACAAATGAAAAATATCTGAAAAATGATTAGATATTTCTAGCTTGGAGTTATGTAGCTAAAATTGATTTTAGATCGGCGGGAAAGGGAAATAAAATGGATAAAGATTGGAATTTATGTTATAAAAAATTAAGTTTATAATTAAGTTTATATCATACATACAGTTTATATTATACGTATAATATCAATTCATAATAGTGTTTCTTTAATATTTAATTATTCTTATAAGTACAGTTTTGTCAACAGGCTAATTCTAAATTACTATGTATTAGTGAGTATATATATATATATATATATATATATATATATATACTACTATATATATATATATATATATATATATATATATATAATAACATATATATATATATATATATATATATATATATATGGTATATTGTAATATACGTATGTAATGTGTATCATTGTATTGTTGACTGTTATTCTAAATACGCATTTGCGTAAATATCATCACATGCCTCGGTAGTCGAAGGGACAAGATGCCTGCCCGGTAAGCAGGAGATCCAAGTTTGATTCCTGGCTGAGGTGGTATTTTCGCAAAATAATTACGAGTTTTTCACGACTGGTTCGTGATCGGACCTCGCCGTGACGCACACTCTCCCTTCTTATTTGGGAGCTATCAAATGACATAGCAATAACATATGCGAATGATTCTAGTACTTCCAAAAATGAACTAACGCCATCTGTTACAAAAATGTATTATGATTTTTCCGACAACCCAATATTATTTACTTTGAAAGTCAACTATTTTGAAAATCGATCGAACTGCGTTGTACCACTACTACTATCGAATGATTATCAATCATTGTTAAAACTACTATCAACGTCAATCAAATTATTTCCAACTACTCTTGATGCGCATTGAGGGGGTATGGGTCTATCCCTGCCCGCCGCTGCCCAGCATGTTTGCTATTTCTTTCATATGTATATTTATCGCACCTGAATCACAGATAGGGTCTCTCCTTCTCCTTCCCATTGCATGCTGTCCGCCCTTCCTGTTACGTTCTTTTTACGTTAGTTCTTTTGGCGTTCTTTCTCTTTCGAAGATCTTTTCTTAATTTTATTGTTTGGATAATAACATTATTT